TGAGCTTTTGAATGATGAGGTTTCATCTGGAAATCATTTTGTGGAGGACCTATAGTAGGCCGAACTTTACTTGTCAAGATTCCGAAGGTGACGGGAACGGGGGCTGTTTCTATTTTGTTCTGCAACGCTACAAACAGCACCAAAAACTACGACTTGTTGACAATTGCTCTACCAGGTCCGCCATGTAGACTTGGTGTGGCCCAGGCGTCGGTCTGTGCAACAGATAGTTGCTTCAAGATAGCCGAAAATCGATCCCAAACGTTAGAGGCAGGTAGCATCCGGTCTTGTCATGCTTTGCATTGATATCACCCCTTTAAAAAAATTGTAAATCTCTATAGTCTATAGTCATATATATAAAATCACCCATTGACCAGGACCATAGCATCTCATGACCAACGCAAACAGTTTCCGTTGAACAAGGTGCCCCTTTGGCCGCCCACGGCCCCACCCGCCTGAGCACTGCCTGAGCCAGGGGCCCAGTACGCGCACGCCGACCACTACGAGGGCCAGCAGCGCTGTGGACCCGATCAAGGGCGAAGTCGCTGACGCCTGGTGGCCGGAGGAGTGGGGTAACTTGGCCTGAGCTGCCGGCGGTGCCAGAGGTCATCAAGTTGAGATTCGAAGACAACAGCCACTGCTTCTAATGTTGAGAACAACATGTGATTATGCTTGACCGGAATGGACTTTCTTTTGGTGAACAAATGATGGCAAATGTTTGATGAATGGCCTTCCTTGGATCAGCATTGCTGGGACTGTATAGCTCAGCCAGTTGTTCTACAAATATTGGTTGATTCAGTTGTCGAACTATGCCAAGTCAGACGAGAACACCACAAGAAGAACCATGTCAATATGACTGGTCGTTTTGGGATTTGTTGGGGTGCTCTTGAATATCATCCTTGACCCTAAGAAGTGGCTTGGCTCTTCTCTTCTTCCTTTCGTTCAGCTCTCCATTGCTGGTGCAAATCCTTTCTCCTCAACACACTTTCCTGGTCAATTTCCTAGTTCTGCATCCGGCACTTTCAAGGGTTGCTCAAAGGGAGCCAATGGTGAAGGCCCTCCGCACCTATGCCTACGCATGGCTTCGGCTTCATAAAAAAAAAATTGGCCGAGAAAACATGGAAAGCGTGAACGGCAAAACGTCCAAAGCATTGGAATCATTAGGAATCTGAAGCTGCATTGGTCTTGCATCATTGTGTCGCGTAGGGCTCTTCACAGCTAGGCTTGCAAAGCACAATAGTTTGTATTCAAACAAATGATGTTTGATATGCAACCTGTTAAGAAAATAGGCGTGTGCCTTTATTTATGCCATACAGATTGTTACATCTGAAAAGCCGAATCACTGCAAAGCAGTCGAAGGCGTCAGTGACGGAAAGCATACACATTCCAAGAAGCAGCCCCGCTCTGCGCGGGTTCATTCGAAACATTATACTGCACCGCAGTGCACAGGAAGCTGCGAAGGCCGACTCAGGATCGCAGGTGGATCGAGCCAGCAAAGATACAGGGAGCAAAACGAAACGAAACATGTCTCTCAAAAGAAAACGGCGGGGCTCAACCAAGTTCTTCCTGCGCACGTCGCTCAGTCCTACGATGTTCTTGTGGAAAGCAGTGTGGGAACGAATGAGGCCACATTGAAACCTATCATAACGCACGTCCCTGGCAATATCAAAAGGAAGATCTAGACAATCCAAGTGTTGATGCGCAGTGGGGATGGATGCCACTCAGACGCCCTTCAATTAATTCCATCCACTCTTCTTCTTCACGTGGAAGTTTGGGTGTTCGCAGATGATTCTAAGCGGGTTCCCACTTCAGGGAGCTGGAAGGGAAGAACCACTGACTTCAGACCCACTATGTTTTGATTAAAGTTCAGGAACCATGGAACAGGCCATTTTAGTGGGTCCTGGGAACTCGTCCAGACCAAGCCGTCACAGGCCGGCGACCAAGCTGGAAAAGCGACCGGCCAACGTGTCATGATCGGTGGTGAGAACGTGTGAGAACGTGTGTGTGTGTGTGTGTGTTGCTTTTCTCGTGTGAGAGTTCTTCGGTTTTATCACAATGTCTCGTGTGTCGCTTTGCTCCGTCATCAATGTCCAAGGTATTGTCGTGTGGCTGGGGATCGCCATCGTGAGTGGTTTCCTTCTGCTGGGTTGTTGCTATTTGGCCCATCGTTGGAGACGGAGATTGCAGCCGCTCGTTGAAGCGATTTTGCAACCATGAAGAGTTGATGTGAGATGAGAGGTTTCATCACACTCATGGAGGTTCATGAAGATCCGCCTATAGGTGACTCTTGTGATTTTACTTTGATCCTCTAGGGACTCCACTGGTCTCGGAGCATGTCTCTTCGGCTGCGAAAGGGAAACAACAGATTCGGAAGGATTTGGAAAGCCTTACTGGTAGTAACAAGAAGCTACTAGGAACAAGTGCATTGCTAGTAGTAACAAGTGCCTTACTGGTAGTAACAAGAAGCTACTAGG